CCCCCCCCCCCCCCCCCCCCCCCCCCCCCCCCCCCCCCCCCCCCAATCAAAAATAAAAGAGAAGGAAGGAAGGGAAAGAAAAAAGGAAAAGAGGGGATACAGGGAAGGAAAAAAGAGGAAGAAGAAAAGAAAAAAAGTGGATAACGACACAACAAATCGTCTTCTTTCTCTAATGATTTAATGAAACGTAAGCTTCCGCTTAGCGCGGGAGGGGGAAAACTAAATTCAGATTATTTTTGGGAACGGTACAACAAATCGTCTTCTTTCTCTAATAATTTATTGAAATGTCAAAGCTTCGCGTTTCGTGGAGGAGGGAGGTGGAAACTCGCCCCTCCCTGCACCCACCCACCCCAAATTACGTCACTGCTGGTCACCATTACGAACCAATATTTAGTTCGCATAATTTCAAATTTTGCCCCCCCCCAAGAAATCCTGGATCCGCGCCTGATGTATATACAACGGCAACAGTTTCAATAATAAGTTCTTCTTACTTAAATCATTGGTCTGGAAACAATTATATGCCCATTGTTGTGTATTGTATTACATTTCACTGACAATGAATTCACATTGTAATGCAATTTTCAAGTTTCCCAGGCTTATTTAGGAGAACAGAAGATTGATATTATTTAGTTGTACGCTAACATCACTCAGTTTGATTTGATTTGATTGGAGATATATCTCATTAAAAACAGAGTAAAGGCTATACAGTATCAAACAAACCTACACCATTAAACTTCAAGCTCACTCACACATGATTTATTGCGACACTTTCAAGGCTACTTATTATTTCAAGTTCATGTATATACAAAGGGCAACAGCTTCAATATTAAACGTAATTAAATCATTGGTCTGGAAAATATTAATGCCCATTGTTGTATATTATACAACATTTTCCATAACGATGAATATACATTGTATAATGCAATTTTCAGGAAAACCATACTTGTCATTACTGTTATATTTGTTATATGATACTAAAGCAAATCGTTTCGCTTATCGATGAGATAAATCAATGTGAAGTACGTGTCAAATAATGAAATCATTACGTGCTATTTTTAACCGGACTAGACATTTGAAATGTATAAAAACAGCCTAGGTCACGGCCATCTTCAAAAAAGGAAGTAGGCATGATGCTAGCAACTACAGGCCTATTTCATTGACTGCGTATATCTGCAAGATACTTGAACACATCATTGTCTCTGAGGTCATGACACATCTAAGTTAAATCATACAACAAATTGTCAGGGAACCAGCGTGGATTCCGCAAATACAATTCTTACAAATCTCAACTATTCCTTACAATCATTACATGGCCAAAGGTTAAAGCCCAATGACGTTTACATGTTTGTCTGGTTTTCTTTTTAGACCTGGACCACCTATTGGACCTGGACTGTTTTTTGCCTTGGCCTGCACTACTTGTGATCCAAGATGCGGTTGAGTCCAAGAGAGCAGGAGAGCCTGTTGGTTCATGAAGCAGGCGCCCTTGCTCAGAAGCGCCTTGCGAGAGGTCTGAAGCTGAATCACCCAGAAACTGTGGCACTCATTGCATCTCAGGTAATGTAGGATTGACAAACCATAGGTAGCAAGTTTATTTTGCCCACATTCTGAATGTAGAGTGGCAAAGGCTGGGTTAATGTCTTTGAACCCTCAACCCTTTGATTAGGAGTCAAGTGATTGAACCACTATATATACCACAAGGATACATATTGTAACCCCACCAATGCTAGCTATAGCTCAATTAAAGTGTACTGATCACCTGAACAAATAATTTTGTTTATTGGTAGAATGTATACAGTAGGTAAACACAGTTTGTAGGTAAACAGTTAATGAGTATGAAGAAAATCGTATCACTTCACAACAATTACCCACTTGACAATCACCCTGTGAAAATTACCCCGTAAAAGTACCTCCCAAGGACATTTACCCTCGTCATCTTCTTGTCTGTTTGTGAATATAATTCAGGTTGAAAAAGCTCTGTTCTTTTTGGAGACTCATGTCAAGTTATTTAACACAGTGTCACTGTGTTCTGAGAATAAAAGCCACTTGTCAATTCTGTTTCATGCAGGAAAACAATTAAATACCTGCCATTTTTTTAGAAGGTTTGTGTACAGGATTTTATGTTGGGTCAGGGCTTAAATTAATACAAGGCCACCAAGGCCATGGCCTTAGATGCCCCTTTGATTGGCCTCAATGTCCCCTCTCATTGGCCTAAGAGAATTTTTGTGCCCTTTCCAATTCTTCCTATTTGTGCTGTAATATAGGAATATGCCCTACAGAAAAGTGGCCTTGCTCTATAAATATTGAAATTTAAGGCCTGTTGGGTGATGTTATTTCCTTTTTTAATTTTTAAAAATTATAGATGCAGGAGTTTGTGAGAGATGGAAAACCAGTTTCTGAATTGATGAACATTGGGAGACAGTTATTAGGTAGGTACATACAGAGTGCAGATTCTGCTTCTTCAAATCAGTACCTGAGTAGCAAAGCTGCGATCGTTAGTCTGGTTTACGTTGGCACGTGTGCTCCTGTAAAATGGCACCATGCCAGAACACTCCCTAGGGAGTCGAGCATGTGCACTATAAAATGCGGAATAGCAATAGAATCCAGTGATCGGAGTAATAATAATGTCAATATACAAAACTTAAAAGTGTAGTATTAAGCATTGTATACCTCTCTTTAGAAATCTAGCGTCTGATTGGTCGAAATTGGAGTCATGATTTTAGCCATTCTCTTAAAGAAACAAACAATGCCAGTGCTGGTTAATAGTTCATGAGTGAGATTCCTGCAAGATTCCAGGTACCGGTAAAAATAGTAAAAGTATGCTGCGATCCCCATTGGTTTATGTGTTTAAAACTTCGTTTGTGAGAGCGTGAATACCATACAGTGCTTTTTGTCTCTGATTCTCAAATGATTCAGTCATCTTTCCAGCGAACATTAACAGACAGTACTGTCTCAGATTTTCTGTGATGTTTTAACCAATCTCAACTCAAGGAAAAGATAAGGTAAGAATTCTTGGTTGGTAGACCTTTGTGTCAATTTGGATATATAAAAGACATATCGACTGCTTTAATATTTGAGGCCTGGCTATTGGTTCTTGGGAATGTTGCATTGACCCCTAGACCCAATGACCCCTTGAGCCTATAAAACAGCCAGGCCTCTCACAGCAGTTGATATATCTATACTATAAAAATGTGACTATGGTCGCTATTATTATCAGGTGTCCGGCAGGTCCTGCCTGGTGTTGCAGACATGATCCCTGAGGTACAGATTGAGGCCACCTTCCCGGACGGCACCAAGCTTGTCACGATCCATCAACCTGTTGCTAGAGAGAATGGAGACCTCAGCCTTGCCCTCTATGGTAGCTTCTTGCCAGTGCCTGATCTGTCTGTCTTTGACCAGCCACATTTGTCACAGGTATAGGACTGTTTAATCCAGTTAGTTCAGAATGTTCTTATTTTCTTAATTAATCAGCGTTCCCTCCTCAAACTGGCAACAATTTTGCTTTTTTCAACTCCTTTATAGTTTTTAAAATGTAAAAGGAAACTAACCCCAAAATTGCCAATATACATGAAAGTAGTGATTTAATATTTTGTACTTGGCCCTGAACCCTTAGAGAATGTCCATCAAGGAAATGAATCCTTTGAATTCACAGTAGAGAAAACAATCATTGACGATAATGATGATTTTCACAGTATATTTATGCTTTTACTGCCCCCAAAAAAATACAGGATATGTTGCAATTAGTCTACAGGGTGAGTTCTGCCCAGCCTCTTCATGAGTTGGCTGCAGACCGAATAAAAAGAGTGATTTGCCCAGCCCAGGCCAGTATACATATAACATTCTTGGCTGCAGACCGAATAAAAAGAGTGATTTGCCCAGCCCAGGCCAGTATACATATAACATTCTTGGCTGCAGACCGAATAAAAAGAGTGATTTGCCCAGCCCAGGCCAGTATACATATAACATTCTTGGCTGCAGACCGAATAAAAAGAGTGATTTGCCTATCCCAGGCCAGTATACATATAACATTGTGGTTTTAATGCCACTAAGATTTAGTGATTCAGTGATTGCAATTTATATCAGTTGTCGGATTTATGAGCTGCGATCGATAGTTGATATCGATTCCAACTGCAAGTTTTATAAGACGGGTGTCTTCTATCTTTATCAATTAACATTTTAAAGAACTTCCTGGCATAGGCATTATATTCAGACCGTAAGATAAGAACAATTGTGACGATGATGATGATGATAATTTATTATATTTCCATGTTCTGTTTAGAACGGTCCAGCTGATGCACCTCTGGCTGTACATCCCGGAGAATACTTTGCAGCGTCGGATGAACCTATCACGCTCAACGCTGGTCGGGCAACCAAAAGGTTAAAGGTCACCTCCACCTGTGATCGTCCCATTCAGATTGGCAGCCATTACCATTTCATTGAAGCAAACAAGTATTTGACCTTTGACCGGCTGGCTTCCCTCGGTATGAGATTGGTGAGTTAGTACATGCCACCTAAATAATAGTGATAATATTTGTTAGTGTAATTTCTATACGAAAATACTCACCTGTAAGGAGGGCGACTGAGAAGAAAGAGTTACCAGTGTAACGAGAACAAACACAGAACCTTGCGCAACCAGTCGTTGACCTACAACTACCTTTTCAAGACTGCTAGAAGCCTTTCTATGACCTCTGACAACAAACTCGGACCTCTGTGACCTTTAACCTTTGACCTACAAACCCAAAATCTACTCAGATCATCTTCATATGATGATACATACGTGTAGTTTTAACAAGTTTGAGCTTCGTGTCTGTAGTGGTTGTTGAGATATCGCGATAACAAGGTCAATACCTTGAATTTCTTAAGTTGACTGCTGTTATCTTTGACCTTTGCCCTAGTCACTCCAAAATCTAATGATATTTTCTTCCTTTTGGTATGGACAGACTGTCAACTCCAAAACATATTAAAGGCACCACCTTTTGTTGGCATAGGCATAAAGATATATATATATACATTGGTAAAGTCTACTGATTTGTTTGTTTTTGACAGAATATTGCATCTGGTACAGCGGTACGCTTCAGTCCTGGAGAGACAAGGGATGTCAATCTCGTCGCTATTGCTGGAAAGAGGTCATTTTCGTGATTTGTGTACAAAACATATGGAAATTTCATTTTTCTTAAAAAGAGATAAAACATTGGTTATTTGGTCTTGTTTAAAGTTAACCCTTACTGTACTGGGGGGGGGGGGGCCTGGGAGGCTGGGAGGCCCCCCCTCGACATTTTTGGAGATCGCGCCGCAACCCCTCGGAATTTTGAATTGTCGTTTCATGACTTTTTTCCTTCAAGTCTTAAGCACATTTTGATACCATTTTCGTTGAAATCGGATATACCTGTAAGGTATTACATAACAATTAGTATCGCATGTCATCAAAAAAGTGCTATAATTGCATATATTCATGTACAAGCAGAAATGTGAAGATATGAATTGATATCAAATTGCTTTTATATGTTTCTCAAAGTAACTTGATGTATTTCAGAACAAAAGAATACATTAGAAATAAAACAATAGATATAATAACAAATAAAAAAACAATGAAATACATAAGAAAATAAAAAGTTGAAAATTGCATCAAATTTGCATAAATTATCATTATTAATTACATCAAATAACTATTTTTTGTGTTAGAAAAGAAGTTTCATATGAATAATGAGTTTCAACATAACAAAAGTGGAGTCTGACAATTTTTGTAATGATTCTAGTTCCCTGTATATTACCAGATTAGATATTCATGAATGCGTAATTTGCGTATTCATAATTTATGCAAATTAACCTATGCATTTTCAAATATCATAAAAATAATGAAACCTCATGAATTTGAGATGAAGGAAACATTTATTCAATACATTTTCAAGATTCTTCACAAGTCTACGGACAAATATGTAGAGATTTCTGTAAAATGCATAAAATTAGCATTTTGCATAATTAATTAGGCTATAACGACAAAAATTTGCATATTAGGGAAAAACTAATTATACCATCTTGTTCCTTACGTAAATATCTACAATCATGCAAATTTTCGCGTTCATCGGACATTCGACGGCCAAAATCATAGGGGGGGGGGCCTCAGAGGCCCCCCCCCCCCCAGTCAGAGAGTGCTCGAAATAGCCCAGTACAGTAAGGGTTAAGGTGTTTGTTTTGGGGGTCAAAACAGTTGAATTGTAGTTAGAATTGAAATAAAACAACAAAAACAATAAAATACATAATTAAAAACAATGAAATACATAAGACATTTTCAAAAGAAGAGATAACATAAGGAAGAACCTGGCTCTTCCAAATTTTGTTGTTGTATTATTATTCCAAATGGTCTAACGAATATATGTAGTGAAAAAGAATGCTTAAATATGAAGAATATATAAGATTTACTCATTAGAGTTAAACAGTGTACAATGTATATAAAACAACTCAAGGGAGACAATAAAAATGCATTTTAAAGACAGTTGGTCTTTCTATATCGGCCTCGGCTAAAGCAGGTTTTACTGTATAAGTTTGTAATCCTGCTTCTAATACAGTGTAACCTGTACCGGTATATAAAACCACTCAAGGGAAGACAATAAAAGTGTTTTTTCTATACAGGTTGTGGCTAAAGCAGGTTTGACTGTAGAGTGATTATGATGACAGGTAGTATTTCTATACAGGTGGTCTAAAGTTTGTTACATTATACAATTTTGTTATCCTGCTTCTAATGTTCTTATCTATAGAGTGATACGAGGTGGCAATGGATTGGTGGACGGACCGGTTTCCAAAGCCTCTGAGAGCTCACTGAGAGAAAAGATCCAACAGCATTCCTTCGGAAACCAGGCACAGGTAAGATGCAGTAGAAGTAGGACGTAGATGCTGTTTAAATGTCGGGTTACATTTTCCAAGCTAATATTCATTAGTGTGTACTTACTTTAGTTATGGTTGAAATGGGCAGATTTATTCTTTATTTACGGAGCACTATTAAAGTGCCAACCCTTTCGTTTCATGAAAATGTCCAAAAGTTGAAGAAATAACAATAATTTCAACATGATATGAATTTCTATTTTTTTTTATTATTTCATGACAAGATTAATTATGAGTGTTGATTTTGTTACATGGTTAGTTTAGTGTGCTGCACATTACTGTATCCTACAACAGACAGAGCAGTGAATATAGATAGGGGCCATTGTTGCTTGGGCCTCTGTTCCCCTCAACCCCCCTCTATGAATGGGGCTTAATTGAGTCAAACTGTCTGATGTCTATGTAGGTACAGGCAGCTGTTTCTCATTCATGAAAGCCGTTATTAAAGGGAAAGTCCACCCTGGTGTTCATTTTGTTTTATTAAAAGCAGAAAAATGAGAAGAAAAAAATTAGTGAAAGTTTTAACAATGTCAGATTAAGAATAGGAAAGTTATGAATTAGTGAAACACTAAATGGCAACACTGTGACATATCCTGCAAGCTCCTCTCTAATTTGCTATGTACATACAATTTTTTATAAACTTTTTTTCTTTACTTATTGATGACAGAATAGATTTTGTTCATGTTGGGGTTGTTTAAAATCATATTTGCAATACCTATATATAGGGTGAATGTATGAAAATATATATATTTTTTTTGGTATATGGCAAATAAAAGGGGACCTTGCAAGATACATCAGAAAGTTGCCAATTTGTGTTTGATTGATCACACCTTCAAACACGTTATTATGTTTAATCAGTTTTTGCTCAAACTTTCACTCACCTATTTTTCTGCTTCTATTAAAACCAACTTAATATCAATATGGACTCCTTTGACCATGGCATGTATACTGGTAAATAGGGTTAGATTGAGTCAAACTAACCAATGCCCATGTAGGTACATGTAGATGTTTCTCATTCATGAAGGCAATTAATCACCAGCTTTCTCTTATTTTGTAACTATCTCTATAAACACTATGCCAACAGGCAGATGCAGAGACTGTTTCTAACTTCACATGCTTGATGCCACGACTCAACTACATTCATACATACGGACCAACAGTTGGAGACAAGGTTAGTTTGTCCTATCGGCTCAAATCGCCTTTGCAAAGATATTAAGGCTGTGATGGGTAGTCGAATGCTGGAGTACCCGCACGGTTGACAACTACTCGGGTATGATTTCTCATACCCGAATATTCGGCCGCAAAAAAAATAAAATAAAAAAAATAATGTCCAGGCCCACGCTTACCCGTGCCAGGGAGAGCGGTGGCCGCTGGCATGGTACCGTTGGTAAAAATGTTTCCCAACTCAAGCACTGTCAAACTCACCTTTCAGAAACTGGGACTAAATGTCCAGATTTCTGTTTGGACTCGGAGGACAATGGATTATTCTGCCATCTTTGGTTTTTAAAACAGCATTGTTTACTGTTATTATTCTTATTAAATCGGCGCCTTCAACTGCAACTCTAAGTAAAATTGCATGCGTTTTCGGCGAGGGACCTGGGAAACTGCCGAGTGGTATGGTAGTGGCAAAAAAATCAACAACAAAAAAATCAAAAAATTAAAAAAAATTCAAAAAAATTCAAAAAAATTATAAAAAAACATGGCGTCCGAATATTCGGGTATTCGCTTGTGAGCCTGGGAGTGTACTCGGGTACCTCATTACACTGTTGTGCACAGCCTTAGAAGATATAATAAATGATTTAACCCTTTCGCAACAATATCTTTTGATTCAGAGCTCTGAAAAATATGCAAGGTGCATGAGAAGAAAGGGCGACAATTTCTGTTCATACTGCATTAATTTTTTTGTTTCATGACTATCTTGAAATTATTCACGTTTCAACATTTTGACATCATTCCTTCTTCAGTAGCAGTACAGGCCTCCGTCAGGTGTATTGTCGTACTGTTGAGGTGCAGTGCAGATGTGTGTACAATGTCTGATAAAAGCTAGGTACAGTTGACTGAGTGCCTCCGTCTTTGCATACAGTTTTCAGAGACATTGCATTTCATTAGAACAATGTAGCAATAAAAGTTGCGGTTTTGTAAATGTGGAACAAATGTCCCCCTTTTCATCGGAGAATTAACCTGTCTTGCCACTTTCAAAAGTTTCCTTAAAGCAAACTTCTTCCTCGGTATCAATATGATTCACCTATTTTATGACTTTTAAGTTCACTTCACACTGTTATTTTGTGACTGTGTGTGTGTGTTGGATTTTTACAGACGTGTATCAATCAGATATGATTATTTACGTTTGGGGACCGACCTTTAAAAGTCACCATCCGAAAGACGTGACTCAGATTCAAACCTGCGTCCTCGGCTAAATCAGTTTGTAACTTCCACTTTTAGCTGGATTACAGGCGCACGCCACAACGCCGAGTTAATGACTGCTATGGAACCCTCTATTTATAGCGCTTCTAAATAATCAATATTGTTATCATTATTATATTATTTGTAGGTGAGACTTGGAGATACATCACTGGTGATTGAAGTGGAACATGATTTAATCTCTGTGCTAGGTGGACAGCTCAAATATGGAGATGAATGCAAGTTTGGAGGTGGTAAGGTGAGCTATCAATGTACAGGTATATGTAGGAGTTCAATATGTAGATGAATGCAAGTTTAGAGGTAGGCGAGCTATCAATGTACAGGTACATGTAGGAGTTCAATATGTAGATGAATGCTAGTTTAGAGGTAGGCGAGCTATCAATGTACAGGTACATGTAGGAGTTCAATATGGAGATGAATGCAAGTTTAGAGGTAGGCAAGCTATCAATGTACAGGTACATGTAGGAGTTCAATATGGAGATGAATGCAAGTTTAGAGGTAGGCGAGCTATCAATGTAATGGTACATGTAGAAGTTCAACATGTAGATGAATGCAAGTTTAGTGGTGGTAAGGCAAGCTATCAATGTGCAGGTAGGAGGTGAATGCAAGTTTGGAGGTGGTAAGATGAGCTATCAATGTACAGGTAGAAATCAAATATTGAGATGAACGCAAGTTTAGAGTTGGTAAGGCAAGATATCAATGTGCAGGTATGAGTTCAATATGGAGATGAATGCAAGTTTACAGGTGGTAAGGTGAGCTATCAATGTACAGGTAGAAATCAAATATTGAGATGAGTGCAGGTTTGGAGGTGATAAGGTGAGCTATCAATGTACAGGTAGGAGTTCAGTATGGAGATGAATGCAAGTTTTAGAGGTGGAAGGTGAGCTATCAATGTACTGGTAGGAGTTCAGTATGGAGATGAATGCAAGTTTTAGAGGTGGAAGGTGAGCTATCAATGTACTGGTAGGAGTTCAGTATGACGATGAATGCAAGTTTAGAGTTGGTAAGGTGAGCTATCAATGTACATGTTGGTGTTCAATATTAAGATGAATGCAGGTTTGAAGGTGTTAAGTTGAGCTACAAACTTGTACATTTATCAATGTGATGGTTCTCAAAGAAAAATTCAAACATGCATAATTGTAACTTGGTATTGCATCCATTTATCTGCTCATGCACTAAATGTACCTACAAACTGGTTTATTGTTTCAGGTCTTGCGGGAAGGAATGGGACAAGCAGCTCATCTGACATCAAAAGATACCCTAGACACTGTCATCACAAATGCCCTCATTGTTGACGCAGTGGCAGGCATCATCAAGGCAGATGTTGGTATTAAGGTACGAAGACGGGTCGTTTCTATAACAATTTCTATTCTCTCCTTCTGCACATGTACATTTGGCAAAACATTAATTCACAATTGCCATTTTGTGATGATGTGATGATGTGATGGTTATTTTACCTGACTGCTAAGCAAGCATAAATTCTTGTAAGTAAGCAACCAGACGGCCGACGGCTTTAGGTCCTCTCTGAGAGACCTAGGGGTGTTTCATGAAGCTGTTCGTAAAGTTACGCATGACTTGTTTATGAAGTGTCAGATGGGATGCCCAAAGTTTTTTCTGATATTTTCAATAACCTCAATTAAATTATGGCAAAAAATATACTTTGCATTAAAAATGTTTGTTATCATAAGAATGTTAATCTACATCTGCACAGTTCAACTTTAATTGATGTATTTAATAATGATTGAGCATCCCATTTGGCTTTTCATATACAATTCGTTCGTAAAGTCATGCGTAACTTTACAAACAGCTTTATGAAACACCCCCCTGGTAGTGAGGATTAATGCCTTACCAAAGGGCACTAGCGCATCGACTTGGTTTCGAACCCGGTTCACCGGATTACGAAACCACTGCTCTACCGACTGAGCTATCACCCAGGTGTTATATGAATGCCAGTAGGAAGGAATTCCTTAAATGTTTTGAGCATTCAAATTGGTTGTAGCTATATAGCTATAGCCGAGGTGATATTGGAGCACCTTGCATGGTGGATATATGAGCACTATGAACATTTCTGATGTTGTTGTTGTTGTTGGAATTATTATTGACAAAAATCTGACTTAAAACTTCTTGTCCTCTTTGGTGAGGATGCAACAATGAAACTGAATTAGAATAATTGGAAGAGACACTCCTGTAGGTTGGAAATGGGAAGATAGAGGGAGGGATATACTAGAGATTTAAAAACAAAAGAAATATAGAGAGAGGTTTAATAGGAGAAAGGAAAGATAAAAACAGATATCAACTGTTGAGACCCAGAAAGGTACATGCATTTACTTGTATGGTTTAGTTAGCACACTCGTGATTTTCAGCAAGCCAGTTTCTCTTGAAATGTTAGGCTACAGTGACTCGGTCTGCACGGGGCCTTGTGTGCGCATACACGTAACTGCATGGTTCTGATAAAACAAAACATGCAACGGACACAAAATGTTTATCTCTGTGATAGAAATACCTATCTACATGTATGCCCTCGCTCCCCCCCCCCCCCCCAGAAAAAAAAGGAGCCATGAACCATTGAGAAAGTCACATAATAGTAATTTTCTTCACAAGCCCTGAAATGCTATCTTTAATATCAACATTCCAGAGCTGCATGTAAAATGAATAAGTCAACCCTAGTTGCTTTTTGCTATACGTGTATGTCACAATGACATGGCTGAATTTTTCTTGTGAATATGACATAGCTCTTGATCAAACATGTAGTAACCAAGTGTTTATACCTTGGAAGTAACTTAAATGTGGGACATAGCAATGACAAGTCCAGTCTATGTTGTCGTGGTGTTAGTCATCTTTATTTTCAACTGATTTCTCATTTCATCCTAGCTGGCGCTAGGCCACTACAAACAACTGTCTAAATACCACAAAACGTTGATGAGTCTTTTGGCACACTTACTCTTTAGAATAAATGGAATCAGATTTCGCATTAGAGGTATACCAAATAAAGTCCTTGCCAATTTTGAGTCACAGACATCAAACATGTTATCCAAGTATCAGAAATCAAGGCAATATTTAAAGTCCGTCTGCACTAGTTTCGCATGGGGTATTAGAACTCCCTGCAAGGTCACTGACAGGTGTTTATTTCATCAAATCAGCTCTCAATTAATATATGAAAAAGAGGATCATGGGGGACCAACAGGCACCGATTAGGCATGGTTTGCTATATAGCGGACGCAAGTAGCTATAAGTAGTGCAGTGGTGCTTTAAGAGGATGTTTATTTTTTGTCCATTTGCTACAGGATGGAATGATAGTTGGGATTGGAAAGGCTGGAAACCCCGATGTGATGGACGGAGTGACAGCAGGAATGGCTGTTGGCGTGGAAACAGAAGCCATCGCTGGAGAAGGGAAGATCCTGACAGCGGGAGGGTTGGACGCCCATATTCATTTCATCTGTCCTCAACTCGCCAAGGAAGCTATTGCATCTGGACTGACGACTATGTTTGGTGGAGGAACAGGTAAGCAGTACATGAGTGAGAGAGAAAGGGAGAGGGAGAGAAGAGAGGAAAGGAGGAGCAGAGAAAAGAGGAGTGAAGAGAAAGGAGAAAAGAGAAGAGAAGAGAAGAGACCACCCGCGTAGCTAGGATTTTATTTAGGGAGGCGGTAGTAAGCGCGCAAAGCGTGCAAGATACTTACAAAGCGCGCTCCCTATGGGGGTGGTTGCAGCAAAGGGGAAGTTTTCCCCCTCCGCGAAGTTCGGAAGCTGTAACGTTTAATTAAATTATTAGAGAAAGCAGACGATTCGTTGCACCGTTCTTGACTCTTAATCCTTGTCTGAATTTTCAAAAATGTTTCTTTGTCTGCTCCTTTTTCTTCCTACGTCCTCTTAATTTTTTTCTTCTATCTCTCTCTTTTTTTTTGAGGGGGGGGGGGGGGGCAACTGCCCCCCTGGTTATGCTCCTGGAAGAGACAAAGGTCCTTGAGCGTGCACTTATCTTTGTGGTGAAATGTTTAGATGTTATCTCTCTGAATTTCCTCTTCTGTCCTAGGACCAGCTACTGGTACGTGTGCGACCACCTGTACCCCAGGACCAAACCACATCAAGAACATGATCCAGAGCACCGACGCATTCCCTCTCAATTTTGGATTCACAGGTTTGTTTAACCAACTCAAATGACAATTGATTATACAGTAAAGTGCTGGTCACGTATTGCTGATAACAATTACTATTAAATCTGTCTATTTAGGAAAGATTTTAAATATCAGATTGTTTCCCTGATTAATGCCATTGAGCCTCTAGGAATAATTTTCTTAGATCCACTACATGTACCTTTCCTACATCATTGTTATATTCTAGTGATGTATGGCTAGCCCTTTTGGCTTATAAACCAGTTTTATTCAAAAACAATTTTTTTCCAAAGGGAGCTTCAATGACTCAGTGGCAGAGCAGTGGTTGCATAACTGGGAGGTCCTAGTTCAAAACCAATTTGATGCGCTAGTGCCCTTTGGTCGATCATTACCAAGTCCCTCAGAGAAGACAGTAAGCTGCACACCCGGCCCCCCACTCCGTGAATGGGGGGATACCATGCGTGTTACCAAAATGTCTGGTAAAGGGGAACTTTTCACGCACCAAAGTCCAGCTCGTACATACACAAAAAAGACTTTACACACCGGACTTACGGGGTGTTTTCAAAAGGAGGGAACATGCATATGCATATCCTAAATAACACTGAGTGGAGGGGCCGGGCTGCCAGTCCACTGATTGCCTGCTTACAATCATATGCATAATAGCAGTTGGGTAAAACAAACAAACAAACAAACAAACAAACAAACACACAAATATGTATTTCATGCCTGTAATAATAATAATAATAACCTAGACTTATATAGCGCATTTTATCTTCGAAGAAAATAACAATGCGCTTTACAATATTAATACAACAAAATTACTCATAACAACTAATTCATGAACTAAAGATATATATCAAAATAAGGAAAAGATTAATAATAATCAAACATTATATACATCCATAACAGAGAAATGAAGGCAAATTATATAAGAGTACAGTAATGTAATTAAATTTTGATGAATACAATAATACAGTTTAAATGACATTAGAAAGCGTTTTTAAACAGGTAGGTTTTCAGTTGAGATTGAAAGAAAGCTAACTGTAGTTCAGTGGTCACCAATTAAGGAGTCTAAACCTTTGCCAGAGGCTTGTCTGACTTTGCAATAATATGTTACTTACATTCCTATTTGAAAATCGTTAAACCTAAAAGTTTTTAACATAATATCCAGCGTGATAATCTCATTAACACAGATGCTGTGAATGTTCTACACAAATGTTGATGTAGATCACGCTTCTCAACTGCCCACCTGAAAGAGTGGGATGCTAGGTCGGCCAAAATATTATTTTTAGAAATGGAATAATATGAAATGAAGTATCTGATCTTTTTTGACAGAGCTAGAATTCAGCTATGTATTGTAACATATTAAAGTCTTCTCAAAGATTTAGGTGTTTACGAAATGAGGTAGTAAGTACTAAGCATTAACTATAAATGACAGTGGCACAATTCACAATTTATTCTCTACTTTCTCGTCATTTTTTTCTCATTAAGTCTTTGTAATGTGGGCCTTGAAAATTTTCTTACGGGCAAAGTGGGCCATGAGTTAAAAAGGCAGAGAAGTGCTGATGTAGATCAAGTTAGGAAGCAGCCACCCAGCCATGGTTTGGGGGCTAATTGATATTACCGGGTGTTTCAAGAATCTTGGCATATTTAATGACATGTGCTTTTCTTTACACAAATGTCAATTTTATTTTTTACAATCTTTTACCAACTATGTTTCTTGTAGGAAAGGGGAACACCTCCAATTCTGACAAAGAATCTTGTCGAGAGCTTGAGGAACAAATTGAAGCAGGAGCGATTGGGTGAGTATCAGAATGCTAAGAGTGGCTTTTCTAATAGACTGGTTCACTAAGTCAAATTTAGGGATGTTTCTTTCCTTGTCAGGAACACATAAGAGCACATTTTTTTTTTTTTTTTTTTGGGGGGGGGTCCAGCTTTTGAGGAAAAATGTCGCAACGACTCAGCCAGCCGCTGAATAAGCGGGGGGGGGGGTAAGGAACTGACAGTGATTGAGCTGGAAACATTTTTACCCGAGGTACCATGCCTGGTGAACAGGGGGGGTCCCGAAAATTGGAAAATTATGCCGACCGATATTTCGTTTAGTGGGGGGGGGGGGGGGGGGGGAGGTCAGTTTTTTTTTTCTTCAGCACAATTTTTTTATTTTTTTTATACACAAAACAACATTTTGAGAAAATTGAGAAATTTGGCCCGACTAAAGTATAGCAACATGGGACCCGACCCTTACATCAAGAACAAAACAAAATGTTTTCGGGATAGGAAAACTTTGATTATTTATTTCAATATTTTTTTCAGAATGAAGCTGCATGAGGACTGGGGATCCACCCCTGAGGCAATTCGTACATGTCTGCGCGTTGCTGAGAGGCACGATGTCCAAGTCATGATCCATACGGACACTCTCAATGAATCCTGCTGTGTGGAAGATACCATAGCTGCTTTTGAGGTACTGTCTATTGGAACAGCTTCAGGATACCCCATCACAAAGTAGCCCTTGTCTTAACCCTGACCCTCGTACCTAACCTTAGCCCTAGGCCTAGCCCTAGCCCATATCCATACCCTTACCCCTAAACCTCACTCCATTGTCATGATCCATACGGACACTCTCAATGAATCCTGCTGTGTGGAAGATACCATAGCTGCTTTTGAGATACTGTCTATTGGAACACCTTCAGGATGTCCAATTAAAAAGTAGCCCTTGCTATAACCCTGACCCTCTGGCCTTACCCTAGCCCTAGCCCTACCAATACCCCTAAACCTCACTCCATTGTCATGATCCATACAGACACTCTCATTGAATCCTGCTGTGTGGAAGATACTATAGCTGCTTTTGAGGTACTGTCTATTGGAACACCTTCAGGATACCCAATCACAAAGTAGCCCATACCCGTACCCGTACCCCTAGCCATACCAGTACCCCAAAGTGTACTACTTTTCAATGAAAATGCCCTCTCCTGCACTTAATTTCGGGAAAAATTATTTTATGTCAGAAGAAAAACCTATCTTTTATTTCAGGAGTGTTATATTGTTTTTTGTATGTAGAGGTGCCGTGGTTGAGTGGTTAAGTCCCCGAACTGTCGATCACTAGGTCCGCGGTTCGAGACCCGCTGCGGCACGAATGTCATTTGACAAGACATTGATCAACAATTGCCACACTCAACCCAGGTGATGTAAATGGGTACCTGGCAGGAATTAATTCTTTAAAATGCTAGAGCGCCGTAATGGCAGCACAGCTGAAGCCGGGGTAATGATCTCCAAGTTTGGAAGCGCTTAGTGATTGTATTAAGCGCTATATAAAACCTGGTATTATTATTATTATTTTGTATGTTAATGTTAACCAATTTTATTTTTGTAAAGTGCATAGAGAATTAATTTGCAGTTTTGCACTAGTTTGTGTTTTATAAGTTTAACACTATTATTATCATTTTGACCTTCTCTAGGGCCGCACCATCCACACCTATCACTCGGAGGGTGCAGGAGGAGGCCACGCCCCTGACATCATGAAGGTAGTGGGCGTGCCCAATGTGTTACCCTCGTCTACCAACCCAACCCGCCCCTTCACAGTGAACACCATCGATGAACACCTGGATATGCTCATGGTCTGCCACCATCTTGACAAGTAAACTCAACTCCTTTTTACACATTCCCAAGTATATCTTATATTTTTGTATCCTACTCCATAATACAGAAATGAAAGGCGTGAGAAGTGAAGTACAATAACGTCAACACTTTATTCAACGGCCATGATGGAACTTCAACAAGCTACGTTGCTCACAACACATTTATCCATCATTATTCTCGATCCAGACTTTATGGTCCAAATTCACAAAGGAGGTTTAGAATTAACCCATGTTTTAAAGCCTCATTTACATAACCCATGGTTTAAAAATGATCGTAAAATAAGCGTACCTTGCCTTGCGCGCGTCTAATATTGGACCTCTGACTTGTGTTGCGCTTATTTTAAACCATGGGTTATGTAAATGAGGGTTTAAACCATGGGTTAACCTCCTTTGTGAATTCGGGCCTATGGATTTTACATGAATGTAAATAACACAGAACACAACATCTGTTTATTACTCAGATAGATTGAAACTGAAAACTTTTGTATAATCAAACTATCAAAACTGTCACAAACAAGAACCATAATCACAGCAAGAAACTTGATGTGTGAATTATTCAGTATGGTGCCGGTATGATTTTATTATTTTGTTGCATGAAACTTTATTGAATCTGAACCACTTTCAAAAAACGTTTGATGAACACTACAGTTTCTCGTTTGCAGTAATGCTGTACTATTAGAAAGAGGTGTGTAAGCCCTTGGGCAATAGTTTTAATCGTTCCCCTACTAGTAGTCTTTATTTGTATACTATGTTCCAACTACTCATCTGTTGAGAGCCAGAAAGGTGTTAAATCCTATACCGTAATACAGAGTTAGCGCATCTATTGCTCTTTATCCACAGAAATTGAAAGACAGATGCGGCTTTTGCAGCGCCCCCTATACAAGCTGAAACCATGACTACTGAAGATATCCTTAAGGTTTAGGATAAGGGTTAGGGTCTGGTAAAGTGTTGGGTCCCAGGTGAAAGTTAAGAATTTTGTTAGTGTAAGAAATTGACCCTTGTTTCCTTTTATCCCCAGGAATCTAAAGGATGATTAAACCTTTGCAGAGTCTTGTATCCGAGCCAAACCATCGTTGTTGAAGGCATCTTTTAGATTAGTTGTAGGATTAGACTGACTTAGGCTTGGGCTTAGGGTTAGTGTTTGTTCCAAGATTGAAGTCCCATATAGGAATTAGGTATTGTAGGAAATTGACCAGTTGTTTCTTTTATCCCAAGGATTCTCAAGGAATCTTTATAAAGATAAGGTATTTGTAGAGCCTTTTATCTGAAACCATTACCAATTAGAATTCCTTAAGGTTTAGGATTAGGGTTACTTTTTGGTCCAAGGTAGAAGTTAGGCATTTCATTAGTGTAGGAAGATTGACCCATATCCTCTTTCATCCTCAGGAATCTAAAGGAAGATGTTGCCTTTGCCGAGTCTCGCATCTGAGCCGAAACCATAGCTGATGAAGATATCTTTAAGGTTTAGGGTTAGGGTCAGTGTTAGAGTTTGGTCCAAGGTAGAAGTTAGGCATTTCATTAGTGTAGGAAGATTGACCCATATCCTCATTTACCTGCAGGAATCTCAAGGAAGATGTTGCCTTTGCCGAATCTCGGATCCGGGCCGAAACCATAGCTGCTGAAGATATCCTTCATGATCTGGGAGCCATCAGTATTGTGGCCTCCGACTCACAGGTACAAAAGAAATCCAACTCTCAATCATATTAAAATTTTATCAAATTTACTGTAGCCATCACCTGTATATGGGCAAATAAAAGAATATGATATTGTTAAATCGATTAAAATTTCAACAGATGAGGTGTGTTTAAAGATGATTTATCATGCCATTGATAATGTCCTGTTTAAATTAGAAGTGATTGAGATCAATTGAATATTTTTTCAGGCAGTGAGGCATATTTTTATATGATGACCATTAAATTGATATGCTTTTATAAAGAAAAATGAGAGTAATAGTTATCATAACTTCAGGTAAATCGTCCCGTTTGTATGTGATCATTATTCCATATAAAATGTGTTACGTGATCGAGTGAAATTGGTTCTAATTTTCAGGCCATGGGGCGTGTCGGTGAGGTGATCACCCGTACATGGCAGACGGCAGACAAAATGAAGATTTTCAGAGGCAGACTGTCAGAGGAAACGGTAAGATATTCATTTTCATGTCTTCTACCCCGTGAGACGCAAGTAATGATTTCATGTACACACTGCAGTTCTGGACTGTAGAGCTCTGGATGAGCAACTGTTTTTGTGTACAGTTATTTTCAGGGAATGAGGGGTATAATAATTAGTTTGAAAGTTACTTACAATACATGTTCCCATATGCAATGTCAGCTCATTTCATGTATAGTTTACATAACGACCCTGCAACAACTCACAAATACAGTAATTTGCAGAAATAAAATCATTTGCCAAATAACTGTGTGAACAGTTATTTCTTGATAGAATGATGCTCAAAGACAAAAAAGTAGTGTTTCTTTACTATTTCATTAGACTCAACCTCAAATCCTCGTTAAGGTTTACAACTGTACTGTAATAATAAGCAAATTATCAATCATGATTTTGCAGTTTTTGATTTATGTTATTTATTTATTTATTTATTATAGTTTTATTTCAACAGGGTGGTCTCATTTCAAGTCCGCTCTCCCAGTATGTCAGAGAGTATGTCACATGTTTGTTCTTGCTCACAATATGGTGTTGATTGTTCATAACATATTTTTCTATGTTACCAGGGTGACAACGACAACCTAAGGGTCAAGCGTTACATTGCCAAGTACACGGTCAACCCGGCCATTGCCCACGGCATGGGCCATCTCATTGGCTCTGTACAGGTGAGTATTTATCATCGGTGACTTACTTGTAAGCTCATTGTCGCTAGGCTCTTTGTCAACATTTATGATGATAGAAGAAAATGGAGCTATGTGGACATAGATAATAATAATAATAATAATAATAATAGGCATTTCTATAGCACCGTCTACCTAGAAATTCTATTCTGAGGCGCATTTATTATTACCCCGGCTTTAGCTGTCATTATAGATATCCATTGTCGACAGTGTGTATAGGGGTGTGTCGTGTGTGTCTTTGTGTGTGTGTTGATGCGTGATAGCTGGAGAGGTGTTCCGGCGTGGAAGTGCCTGGATGGACAAGATCAATAACAAAACAAAACAAGCTTTTTAAACTGCACTGCCTTTACCTCAGTTTTATCTTATTCTTTCAATCCAACCTTCTTAAAATTGTGATGATTGTTAAATGTTATGTTGAAATGTAATAATTCTGTCTGTATTTATATATTTATGTACATGTATAGTACCTTTAAATGTCCAAAGGCAAATTTTATGTATTTTTTACATGACAATAAATTATTTTGAATCTTAAATCTTGTATTTCAGCAGTGGTATTGCGGCAGTTTATAAAAATGCATTCTTGAACAATAGGGGGAGGGGGGGGGGGGGGGAACTTCCCTTTTCTATTTTGTAGCTCACCATAGTTAACTGTATCGAGGTATAGGAGAAAATGAGATTGATGTGTAACCAAATCAACACTTAAAATTGCCAGTGCAAGAAATAAAAATGAAAACTTTTCTTCTCATTTTGGTTTCGTGAAGGTTGGTAAAATGGCTGACCTGGTTCTCTGGAATCCGGCATTCTTCGGAGCTAAACCTGACCTCATCATCAAAGGAGGTTACATTGCTTGGGCACAAATGGGTAAGTCCATCGTGGAATGAAGTCCTACAAATAATGCTTGTTCTTTGTTTTCTATCAATATCAGAAATTGTTGTTGTTTTAACTATGTAAAGATATAGTTGAGTTCTGGTCATGCGATTGCATTGTGAAAGAAACGGTGTGGAATCGATCAGAAAAGATTGTTCATCTAGCATATAAATATTGGTGTGTACTGCAAGGTTCTGGAACCATCAAAAGGATAAGAAATTGGGCCCAGTCTTGGTAAGCAAGCACTGTACACAGAAATATGTATATGGAACTACATGAACATGTGGCATAAAAATCTGTCCCGATTGTTATGCTGGTACATGCCATGTTTAGAATATTAAGGCATTTGAAGAGCTATATGCTTGTCAGGGAACATTTTTTATCTGATGTTCTCCCAAACTTGCATAATAACAATAATAATGCTCACAAATTATTTTTCACCTCTTCCCAGAACTCAACCTTCTACAAATCTCCATGTTCCACATTGTATTTATCATGGATATAGATATTCCAAAGGCCTCAAGATTATTGAACTCATTCCAGTGCAAGATTAATCTGCACTGGTGTTAAAATATGTGTCATGGAGCTTATCAAGACAGGGTTAATTTGGTAATGGGTAATTTTGCAAGGTGATTGTGTTGCACAAAGCAATCCAAACGAGCGGCCGTGCAGAGAGGCGCAGAAAGCAACCAAACTGTTAATAGTGATACATGTAAATATACTGTTTGGGTGCGTTTGTCGTGTCATGCCACTCAGAATCAGCGTTTCTATATATGTACATATCGAACCCTACAGGAATTTGCGGAATGACGTGTTTATCAACTCATCACGATTCAAAGTAAAGGCCTTGTCTCTGCGAAGCTGCTTTGCGCCGTTTGACCCAGGAAGCAGAGAGTTGCACAGAGGTTAACTGGGGCGCTTCTACTTCTTCTTCTTGGAGGAGTATGTTAGCATGTGCGATGAAAAAACAATATTTAAAGCACGTAATCGCACAATAAGTAAACAATGAACAATACAATGAAAGATGGACGAGAATGCAGGCATACTTGTACAACAACATGACACAGCATATGGCCCGCGCTATTTCTCTGAACCGGAAATTAGCCTGAGAAGGTCTGATTTGTATGTGTGTTTCAAAACAGCTTTGTGTTTATCATCTCTCAGAAATGTGATTCTGGCTCTATGTCATATTCAAATCACATTTTTTCGGCATTTCAATATACCCATATCTAAAGACATTTGAAAACGGGTTTGCGTTTATCACCTAGACAAAATTTGCCTGAAACACGTTTGAGGAAACATGATTCTAGGCAAAAAAATGTACTATAAACGAACCCTATGTAATAACTTCTTGTTCTTGTCCCCTTTTTGCATCTAGGCATGCCCAATGCATCCATCCCGACCCCTGAACCTGTCAAGACCAGGAAGATGTTTGGTGCTTACGGGAAGTCCATCGGTGAGAACTCTGTCATCTTTGTGTCCAAGGCAGCAGGTGCAGAGATCCAACAGAAATACGGCATCAGCAAGAAGGCAGTACCTGTCACCAGGTTTGTTAATGCCTCATGTTATTTAATATTATATTTTTGATCAATGAAATCCTCGCTGCAAGCAATAAAGAAGTATATCGCTACCAACCTGGCACAGTCGCCCTGAGAGAGATTCGCCGCTACCAGAAGAGCACTGAGCTTCTCATCCGAAAACTGCTTCTCATCAGTGATTGGTGATTGGTCAACGATTCAGTGATTGGTCAACATAGCATCATGTGACCAAACACAACATTGCTATGATGTAACCGTGACGTCATCCATGGTATAGTGCACTTTACCATGGCACTATACCATGGATGACGTCATACATGTATATGCGATCGATCAAGATCAATGTGCTATCGGTCGCGGTACTGTCGTCTACGCTGCTCTCACTGCACTCTACACTACTTTAGCGACAGTTAACATAATTATTATGTTTTGTCTATTCAGAGCAAGAAAGACATTAACTCATGCACTTTAAAGGTACTATGTCCCATTTGCAGGTCAAAAAAATGAAAAGATTAAATTCCAACGGCATTGAAAGACGATACTTATTTAGAACTTCCCTCAAAACAAAAGGGTTTGAAAATGGATTTTTGTGGGAAAATAACGACCATTAGTTGTCAAATCTACATAAGTGATTGCAATCACCTACATGTAAGTAATAGTCTGATTTTCAGACCCTTTTACTGAATGGTTGTACGTTTTGTGCTGCACAAAGATTTGATCAGTTTAATTTTGGCCATTATTTGTAGTGGGTTATTGATGTAGACAAATGCCCATGTACCCTTTACAGTTCATTTTATGTATGTTATTACCAAAGAAGATAAGATGTCAGTCAGTCACTCAATAGTGTCTGACAGGGAAGTCTAGAAAGTAAACGGGTTTCCTTGCATAATTTGAATACTAGGACACTGCTAACGTTTAAATTTCACAGATAGAACATACAAGACGTATTCATAATTCCTGCAAAGTTCTACAGAATTTGATGTTGGCTGCAAAAGGGACATACTTGTAGTATTGTATTTCCATAGTATGTCAGGTTCCTCATTTTCCAAACTCTCAGCAACGAATTTACTTTCTCCAGTTTCAAATTCCAATTTAAACTTTCTGATTCTTTCTTTCCTTGACTTATGTACACACCTAAGTATTAAATCGGATCATTTTTCCATTCTAAATTATCTAAGCATTCTTCTTGAAAATAAGTTGACATACATGTAACTTTGTTTTTCATTAAATTCAGTTTTGGCCCTGCTAAGACCCCAAATGTTTTCACCTCTTGTATGGCAATGTTTCCAGCTTCTATAGAGTTAACAAAAATTACTGTGTCATCTGCTAATAGAGAGATTTTTCTCTTCAACAATTGCCATTCATTTATATGTAATCGAAAGAAGAAGAACAAAAGTAGTTTGAAGTGGCAGTTTCCAGCATCACGTGTGAGCGAGTGTTAGAAGGGAATGGAAGAAGAGCTGAAGTACTACTACGAGGGAAAAAAGTTGTGAGGTGTCATTTGAACGTATTTTTTTTACTAAAGATATGTGTAGCTAACGATAATGATTACTGTATTGTAAAATCTAATCATTTGGTGTCTTTCATGTGTTTCTCTCAGCTGCCGCTCCCTTAAGAAAAAGGACATGATCTTGAACGACTTTTTACCAGACATAAAGAGTGAGTATGACCTACACCCAGGGGCGTCGCTAGACCTTTTTCAGTGGGGGGGTGTCGAGGCCAACGATTACCGACAAAACTAGCCACCAATTACCGACAAAATTAAATGTCCAATATCTACAAATTCAACCCTATAAACCTGGGGCCGAAGGCTAAATTGTTTTTCCTATGGACTATATATAGTACTTGCATATGCGCAAAATGGTCATTTTCCTCGACGACATAAATATACGAATTATTTCTTCAATTTAGTCAGCATCATAGCTATATATTTTAATGCAGGCGCGGAGCTAGGATCTTATTTTAGGGAGGGGCGGTAGTGAGCAAGAGAATCACTTAAAAGCACGCTCATTAGGGGGGGTGGGTGATGGGCCTCCCGTGCGAAGCGCGGAAGCTTAGAGGTTTCCTTAAATTATTAGGAAAAAAAGACGATTAATTGTACCGTTTTCGACTGGTAATCCTTGGCTGAATTAAGTTCCCCCCACCCTCCCGCGCGAAGCGCCAAAGCTTTGACGTTTCATTAAATTATTATAAAAAAGAAGACGATTTGCTGTATCGTTCTCGACTGTTTATCCTTTTCTGAATTCAGTTCCCCCCCCCCCTCCCGCGCAAAGCGCGGAAGCTTTGACGTTTCATTAAATTATGAGGAAAAGCAGACGACTCGGTGTACTGTTCTCGACTCTTTATCCTTGTCTGAATTCAGTTTTTCCCCCTCTCGCGCGAAGCGCGGAAGCTTTGACGTTTCATTAAATTATGAGAAAAAGCAGACGATTCGGTGTACTATTCTCGACTCTTAATCCTTATCTGAATGAAGCTACCCCCTCCTACGTGAAGCGCGGAAGTTTTGACGTTTCATTAAATTATTAGAGAAAGAAGACGATTCGTCGTACCGTTTTCGACTCTTAATAAGCCCTATTCATCTGAATTCAGTTTCCCCCTATCGCGCGAAGCGCGAAAGCTTTGACTTTTCCTCAAATTATTAGAGAAAAACACTATTCGTTGTACCGTTTTCGACTCTAAATAAGCCCTATTAATTTTGTTTGAATTCAGTTTCCCCCTATCGCGCGAAGCGCGGAAGCTTTGACGTTTCCTTCAATTATTAGAGAAAGAAGACGATTCGTCGTACTGTTCTCGACTCGTCTAAATAAAGTTTTCCCCTTCCGCGCGAAGCGCGGAATTTTTGGCGTTTCATCACAATATAGAGAAAGGAAGACGATTTCTCGTACCGTTTTCGAATCTTATTAAGCCCTATTCATCTGAATTCAGTTTCCCCCTCTCGCGCGAAGCGCGAAAGCTTTGACGTTTCCTCAAATTATTAGAGAAAGAACACGATTCGTTGTACCTTTTTCGACTTTTGATAAGCTCTATTTTTCTGAATTCAGTTCTCCACTCTCGTGCGAAGCGCGGAAGCTTTGACGTTTCCTTAAATTATTAGAGAAAGAAGACGATTCGTTGTACCGTTCTCGACTCGTCTAAATGAAGTTTTCCCCTTGCGCGGAATTTTTGGCGTTTCATCACAATATAGAGAAAGGAAGACGATTTCTCGTACCGTTTTCGAATCTTATTAAGCCCTATTCATCTGAATTCATTTTACCCTCTCGCGCGAAGCGCGAAAGCTTTGACGTTTCCTCAAATTATTAGAGAAAGAACACGATTCGTTGTACCGTTTTCGACTTTCAATAAGCCCTATTCATCTGAATTCAGTTTTCCACTCTCGCGCGAAGCGCGGAAGCTTTGACGTTTCCTTAAATTATTAGAGAAAGAAGACGATTCGTTGTACCGTTCTCGACTCGTCTAAATGAAGTTTCCCCTTCCGCGCGAAGCGCGGAATTTTTGGCGTTTCATCACAATATAGAGAAAGGAAGACGATTTCTCGTACCGTTTTCGAATCTTATTAAGCCCTATTCATCTGAATTCAGTTTCCCCCTCTCGCGCGAAGCGCGAAAGCTTTGACGTTTCCTCAAATTATTAGAGAAAGAACACGATTCGTTGTACCTTTTTCGACTTTTAATAAGCTTTATTTTTCTGAATTCAGTTCTCCACTCCTGCGCGAAGCGCGGAAGCTTTGACGTTTCCTTAAATTATTAGAGAAAGAAGACGATTCGTTGTACCGTTCTCGACTCGTCTAAATGAAGTTTCCCGTTCCGCGCAAAGCGCGGAATTTTTGGCGTTTCATCACAATATAAAGAAAGGAAGACGATTCGTCGTACCGTTGTTGACTCTTAAACCTTGTTGAAATTTAGTTTCCCCGAAAAAATTTCTTTAGCTGATATTATAGGAAAGTGAAACTTCGAGAAAATACAAGTATTGTAGTTGTAGTCACTCTTAAAGTCGTCACAGTGGATAAGAAGTCACAGTTCGTAGGGAAAAAAACTTGTCGGCCGACCGACAATATACATCTCACCGACTTTAAACTTCTGCATTGATATAGTACACGAGGATCGAGCAAGAATTCCGACACAGCTGACCCGACACAGCAACATATTTACCCGTGTCTTTCTTGCTCCCTCGACGAGACGACTCCACCCAACAACCCCCTTCTCTCTTTTACTCCCACTTCTCCTCTCTCAGACTCTTACCTCCCATCTCTCTCCTCTCTTTCATCTCCCGTTTCTTTTGTTTCCCTTTCACTCTTATTACTTCTTTTTTCCTTTTTTTTTTTTTCCTTTCTTTCCTCTCCTCCCTCTTTTTCTCTTTTCTCTTTCTTTCTTCTCTTTTCTTTTCTTTCTTTTCCTTTCTTTCCTTTCTTTTCCTTTTCTTTTTTTCTTTTCTCTCCCTTTCCCTCTCCTTTTCCCTCTCTTTTTTTCCCTCTCTTTTTTCCCTCCCCCTTTTCTCTTTTTCCCGACGGCAGCGCAATTTTACCGACAATATCCTGACAGGTGGGGGGGTGTCGCACCCCCCCACACCCCCCCTTTGGCGACGCCCCTGCCTACACCTAGCAGTAATATGCGATGTTATACATGAAAAATACATTTAATACAGTGCCCCTTTGTTATTGTATGGATCACACTTTCTGTAGTCACATCTCTCCTCCAAAATCTTTTGGACACCATTTTTTTTTTAGAGTGCTAAGGAAAAAACAAAACATTTAATACAGTGTACCTTTTTCGATATTGTATGGTTCAAGCTTTCTGTAGTCACAATCTCCTCTCCTCCTAAAGCTTCAGGACACCAAATTTTTTATTTTCTTTTAGGGTTCTAAGGAAAAAAACATCAAACATTTATTAGTGTACTTTTTTTCGTTTTTTTATGGATCACACTTTAGCGGTCACATCTCTTCTCCTCCAAAGCTTCTGGACACCAAATTCTTTGTTTTCAGAGTGCTGAGGATTAAAAAGCAATCTAATACAGTTTACCTTTTAAATTATTTTCTGGATCAAATTTTCTTGTAGTCACATCTCCTCTCCTCTTCTCTTTTTTGTTTACAGTTGATGCAGAGTCTTACAAGGTGACCATCAAAGATCGAGGCAAGGAGACAGATGAGCTCCTGACATGTCCTCCGGCCAAACGACTCTCTCTTGCTCAACGCTACTTCCTCTTCTAGGTTTAACATCCGTGCCTTTGTTAGAAGGCTGATGCAGACATCAACATTAGTGATAAACGATGTGTACCTGGAAGAAATTTAATTCCTTGAAATGCTTTAGCGCCTTATCATGGCAACTCAGCTACAGCCAGGGTAATACTATGATACCTTGTATTAAGCGCAGTAGTGTATATTCATTTGGTAGCTGCGCTATATAAATTGACCTATTATTATGCTTCGCTTTCAGGACAGGAATTTGAAAGGGCTAAATTTTTTTTTTTTTTAGCAGATGTTTCTGCATTTATTGATAAATCAAATATAAAACATTCAAATAACAATAATAGTATATAATATAATTGATTTACATCAAGAGTGACAACTTAATACACACAAAATAAAATATTTAAAAAAAAAATACATAATTGAAAGCTTGAAAGTATGGAGGTAAGTAAAAATAATCAACATAAATGCAGAGGCCAACTATCATAAGCAAAGAAGCTTGAGGCGATAGCAGCCGGGAGGGGGGGGGGGGGGGGGGGGGGGGGGGGGGGGGGGGGGTACATGGCGCTGTTTTTAGGAGAATGTAGGGGAATAGAGAGTCACATATAAAGATTTTGTTCAGAAAGTATCTGAATAAAAAGTGGATGTTTCTGCATTTATTGATAAATCAAATATAAAACATTCAAATAACAATAATAGTATATAATATAATTGATTTACATCAAGAGTGACAACTTAATACACACAAAATAAAATATTTTAAAAAAAAATACATAATTGAAAGCTTGAAAGTATGGAGGTAAGTAAAAATAATCAACATAAATGCAGAGGCCAACTATCATAAGCAAAGAAGCTTGAGGCGATAGCAGCCGGGAGGGGGGGGGGGGGGGGGGGGGGGGTACATGGCGCTGTTTTTAGGAGAATGTAGGGGAATAGAGAGTCACATATAAAGATTTTGTTCAGAAAGTATCTGAATAAAAAGTGGATGTTTCTGCATTTATTGATAAATCAAATATAAAACATTCAAATAACAATAATAGTATATAATATAATTGATTTACATCAAGAGTGACAACTTAATACACACAAAATAAAATATTTAAAAAAAAAAATACATAATTGAAAGCTTGAAAGTATGGAGGTAAGTAAAAATAATCAACATAAATGCAGAGGCCAACTATCATAAGCAAAGAAGCTTGAGGCGATAGCAGCGGGAGGGGGGGGGGGGGTGGGGTACATGGCGCTGTTTTAGGAGAATGTAGGGGAATAGAGAGTCACATATAAAGATTTTGTTCAGAAAGTATCTGAATAAAAAGTGGAAAGAAATTAAGAAAAAAGAAAAATGTGCAAGTGTGTGCAAGTGGGTGTGTGCAGGTGAAGTAAGTGTTCGATTCGTATTGTTAATGAACTGGTCATCTAAAATTAATTTAAATAAACAATCAAAACCTCTGAGACCCTTATGATGTTTTTGAATATGTAGTTATTAAATATTTTTTTTATCGATGCTTTGAATGAATAAAGAGTTGCAGAGTGTTTAATATTGTCAGGTAAAGCATTCCAAATGGCTGGACCATGATGTCTTATCGATTTATAGGCCATAATAATTTTGGGGTTTGTTAAGTGGAAATCAGATGAGTGTCGTGTGGGATAAGAATGTATATCACTATTGTAAACAAAAATATTTCGAAATGCCAAAGGTATAGTATTTATCCAACATTTATACATAAAGATTGCAGTTTGAAAACTGAATGTCAGTGATTTTTAATGTTTTTAGTTTACAAAATATTGGATCAGTATGGGCTAAATAATGTGAATGTGTACAAAGACCGTAAGTGCTTTCTTTTGGAGACGATATATTAACATAATTTTCATCTTACTACTATTGCCCCAAACTATGTTACAATAAGATATGTATGACAAAATGAAGGAATTGTAAAGCATAAATAGTGACTTTTGTGATAGATAATATTTTAATTTATATAAAATGCCTATGCTTCTCGAGACTAGCATGCAAATGTTGTTAATATGACTATTCCAAGTTAGGTTTGAATCAATCATTACACCTAAGAATTTTGTAACTTCTTTTTCAATTATGGGCATGTTATCTATAAAAATATCATAATGAAGTACATGTTTAGAGTGTATGTTTTTGAAATAAATACAATTAGTCTTATTAATATTTAAAGAGAGTTTATTGGATTTGAACCAAGATGATAATTTATTTAGTTCTAAATTGAGGGTTGTAATAAGAATGTTTAAGTCTTTATGCGAATAAAATACGTTGGTATCGTCTGCGAACAGAACATATGTTAGGAGTGGTGATGCATTAACAATATCATTCATATATACTAAAAACAGTAGGGGACCTAATATGGAGCCTTGTGGTACTCCGCATTCTATGGTGGAAATATTAGATGTTGTAGATTTAAACATAACATATTGATGTCTATTACGCAAATAGTCTTCAAACCAAGAAAGTACAATCCCTCTAACTCCATATGCTTTTAATTTATGTATTAATATACGATGGTCCATGGTATCGAATGCTTTCGATAAGTCCATAAAAACACCTACAGTGTGTTCTTTTTTAGAAAGGGAATCGGTTATTTTGTCACATAATTGTAGAATAGCATAATCAGTAGAGTGGTTCTTTCTAAATCCATATTGATTAGGAATTAAAAAGTTATTGATATCTAAGAAAGAGTATAATCGTTTATATACTATTTTCTCTAATATCTTTGAAATGCTTGGTAGTAAAGAAATTGGTCGGTAGTTTGAAACTTTAGAGTGATCATCCTTTTATATATCGGAATTATTTTTGCAACTTTTAGTGGGTCGGGAAAAACCCCTTGGGAAAGAGATAAATTAAAGATATGTGATAATGGGGAAGCTATGAAGTGAATTATTTGTTTTAATAAAGATACACTTAGCTCATCGTAGCCACTAGATTTACTGCTTTTTAATGAACGAACAATTTCTAAAATCTCTTGAATATTTGTTGGATTAAAAAATAAGGATTGATTAACGTTATTATTTAAGTATTTTAAAAAATCATTCTTTTCATTGATTATTTTGGAAGCTAAATCCGGTCCAATATTAGTGAAGTATTTATTGAATGCCTCAGCAACATTATTTGGGTCTATGTGATGCCCATTATCATTAAATTCAATATTATTTGGAGTATCCTTTTTCTTCCCCAAAATGTCATTAACTGTTTGCCATAATGATTGATTATTATCTTTATTATTTTCAATTTTATTACCATAGTATAATTTGCGTGATAAACGAATAATTGAAGTCAATTTATTACGGTACTTTTTATATTTATTTTGATTTTCATTTGTAGGTGATCGAAGTGAGATTTTATATAAATGAATTCGGGTAGATATTGATTTAAGTATACCTTGAGTAATCCATGGTCGTTTATTTTTCTTTTTATTTGACTTAATTCTTGAGAGGGGCACATTTTTATTATAATGACAAAGAAGTTTGTTTATAAATTTTTCATATGAACTGTTCACATCTCTTTCAAAATAAATATACCAATCTTCTTGACTCAAGTCTATCTTTAAGGATTCAATATTACGCTTGGTTTCTTTACGTCGTGTTGTATGTTCTTTATTGGGAATTTGTAGGTGTTTATCATTAGGACCTATCGTAAATATTGGTAAATGGTCTGAGATATCATAATATATTATTCCATTCTGTTTATTATCTAATACGTTTGAGAAAACATTATCAATTATAGTATGTGTTAAGTTTGTAATCCTAGTTGGTTTATTAATGAGAGGTTTAAAAAAAAATGAAGATAATAAATTAGTGAAGTGTTGGCCAAGAACGGTAAAAGGTAAGGATATATCGATATTAAAGTCTCCCATAATATATACATCTTTATTTTCTCTAGAAATAAATTCAAGGCATGATTCTAATTCATCAAAAAATGTGTCGGCTACATTGTTAGGTGGTCTGTACATTACCCCAACGATTCTATTCTTATGTTTATCATCAATAATTTCTAAAAATAATGTTTCTATTCCTTCCAGTTGAATATCATGTCTTATTTTAAATTGTACATCATTACGAGAATAAAAAGCGACACCTCCACCTTTTCCGTTTTTACGGTCTGAATGAATAAAATCATAATTCTCAATGTTGAATATTGGAGGAGAAGTTGAGTGTAACCAGGTTTCGGTAAGTCCTATCAAAGAAAATGAAAATGTGTTTAGGATAGATAAAAATTCTTCAAAATTATCGATTTTTTTTGTAAGCTTCGAATATTGATGTTTAATAAACTAAAACAGTGAAGGTTATTATTGGGTCCCGTTGAATTAAAATTTGAATTAAATTCACTAGTAGTATAATATTTACTCTGGGGTGTATAAACTTGATCATTCAGAATATCATTTAAAGCCATAAGGATTAAAAATGTGGTATTGCGACCAGTATAAATGAATACTATGTGTTTGGTGCGTGCATGTGCGTGTAAGAGTGGAAGTGCATTTATAATGGGTGTCGGCAAAAACCAACAAAATCAGGGGGGGTGTACATGATGTTCACTGTGCGTGACTATCAGACAGACTCGGGGCCGGTGACAGCGTTCAAACGTGGTCATTAATTAAAAATTAAAAAAAAACTTAGAAATTTGTAATTTAAGAAAGTTTTATTTTTTTTTTTTTTTTTTTGGAGTATTGTTATCGTTTAAATTTATAGTGATGAATTGTTTTCGAAACGTACTACCTTTAAGTTACAGAGAAAGGTGGGTAAGCCTATGTGCTATACCTAAGGGGGTGAGAAGGAAACAACGTTCAGCATTAAGGACTGGATTATGATTGACATGAGAATAGGGATTTACAGGGGGGTATGATAATACCTTGGCTTTAGCATAAGTAATACAAATAAGCAATAGTTAAAGGAATAGTTGAGTGTTGGTCAATACTCACATTAGCGAACGAAACTATGATCTTAACATAAAAAAACATACAATAAATGTCTAAGAATGCATCATTGAAGATATAAATCCGAAATATTACATTAGAGTGAATTTATATGCAAAAAACCTGTTCGACTGCAAATGATTTTATTTATCAAAAATTTTACTTTCGAGGCGTATTCAGTGTAATTGTATAGCGCCACCTCTCGGTCAAGCGGCAGCACACCGTGAATTTTCGCCATCGACGACGATCGGATATGGGCGTGCAAGTAATATCCGAACCATGTCTATAGCGCGCTGACTGATTTATATTGTACACATTATGGTATGCGAGGC